TTTGTCCTCTACTCCACATAGGAGTGGCCAATAAGGACTGGGATTATTCCAATATTTTGTACCGCTATTGTGATAGCGATAAAAATGATCCTAATGCTAATGCTAATGATTACTTCTTTTTTTAAGGCTCAGCATTGAAGGTGCTAAGTTTGTGATGAATCTGCAACGCCACATGTTTAAAGAAGTGTGGCGTCACCAAGCTGCACAAAGACATTATTAGACATTATTTTTGGATTTACTGTTATTTTTTGACAATTTTAGTCAGTTTATTTTTACATTAACTGAAATTTGTGATGATAAATCAAAATTCTTGTCACAAACTTAAATTTTTCACAATAAATGATAGATGATATGATAGCATTTTCATTAAATGAAGTTATTGATGTAGCTTGCGATGCCACACAGGGGTGCTGCCAGGGCCCCCCGATAAAAATATTTAATTAACCTTTAAATTGATCCTATACTCGGCGGTGATGCATCCAAAAGCGTTTCTGTCTCAACAGATTTTTAAACCTGCATGTTCACAAAGTGGTTCCGAAACGCTGTCGGCGTTAAGCTCTCATTTTAAAAAAATACGCAAACTCAGATACTTAAACTGCTCTTACTATTTTTCACTTGCTTTAGAGGCAAAGGGATGGAAATGTTAGCTATTTGTAGCGCTGATGAAAAAATGTTCTGCTGGAGCAAAGTGAGACAGAACCGTAACGGTGCCGATCGAAAATCAAAGAGAGGGTCTGTACGAGCGTGCGTTAGGAGTAATCTGTGCAGGACACACTCAGCTATTCTGCTTTGCCTTTACTTGGTTTCCTCAGGAATTAGTCTGTGTGGTAAGCGATAAAAAGCACAAGTACAGGGTGATAAAGCTGGCCCAGAACCTTTTGCCTGAATGTAAAGTGGCCTGACTCTCCGTGTTTAAGCAGAAACGGCACTGCTGAGCTGCTCGGTCCACTTTATATGGTTCACCCTAATTCAGTGGCACTTACAGTGCAAACACTGGAGAGAAGGAGAGGTTATTAACAGGAAGAGTCCTGAGAGATCAGCTGGTAGGTGGCCTTTTGAGGGAAGAAAAGAAAGAAAGTGAGACAGAAGGGTGAAAATGTTCTGTCTTCTTGAAATATGATTAAGCAGAAGGAAAACAGCAAACAATTTTGTGAAAGAGTGACAATTAGTCCGTGAAGCTAGTCTTATTAAAGGAGTACAACATTCACATTCCACTCACACTTAGGTTTCTATGATCTCAGACAGAATTGTAATGTGACTACAGGAGCCCAACTCTCTCAGCTTCACAATATGTGCTTCCAGTCACATGAAGCCAGTTCCTCGACATTGTGAGCATCTGGTTAAACTTTGGTATCATGTGAAAAGTGTTGCTGTGCTGCAACACAGGGGGGGGGAAACGGTGGAGCATGGTAAACACACAGAGAAACTAATGGTTTCAGGAAATAAACAAGTTATCGGGCATTACTATAAAACAACTTTAAGTTAAGTTCACTCTGACCAGATCTCTTGACCCTGATATGTCTTTATAATTGATATTACCTCAAGTTCTGGGCTGGAAGAGCATTTTAAAGGAAATGGATGTTTTTAATAACATTAGGAACCACCGTCTCAGTTTATCAGCAGGCTGATCTCTCATACAGAGAAATTTAGGAAAACTATAACAGTGAAACTCACTGGATGTTATCCGGCTAACACACAGGAATGTATCCGCCTCTGGGACTTACATTGAATCATTCTAAATGTCATCATTAAATGAGCACATCAAATAACAATGAACATCCTTTCTGGGATTTATTGCTGCAACTTTCTAATTGCATTGCTGGTCGGACCTTGTAGCGTCAGTTGTAAGGAAGAATTTTTCGTTTTGAAATGAAATGTTTTATTATCCTTTGTGTTTCAGATACTCATATTTACCTGTCAGTGTTTCCCAGGCCTGGTCCTTAAGGCTCACTGACCTGCATGCTTCAGGTGTTTCCTCTCTTCAGCCCAGGTGATTTCAATTGACTGGTGTTTGTCAGCTGAATCAGTTGGAGTAAAGCAGGGAGACATAGAAAACCTGCAGGGTGCTGTGTCTGGAGGACCAGGGTTGAGAAACATTGCCTTCCAGATACAAACACGTTGAACAGGAATACACCTACCTTTACACACAAAATAAAAAAATCAAAAATAACATAGGAAAAGGAAAAAAAAGAATAAGGACTAGAATCATAACCCCTGGATCCTACAGCTTCAGAACCCTTTCACATGAGGAAGAGATGTTGATGATGACTTTCATGGCCCCGGGGTCGGTAAAGGGTGGGGCAGAAGAAAGCCACTGTTAAAAGAAAACCATGACAAGTCCAACATGGCTTCTGGTTTTCTGCAAACATGTGGAAGGAGATTTGGTCAGACCAGACCAAAAAAACTGAATGGTTTAAAACTAAACGTGTTCATGTGTTGGAACAGCCCAGTCAAAGTCCAGACCCAAATCCGATCCAGAATCTGCAGCAGGTTTTACAAACTGTTATTCACAAACGGTCTCCATGTGATCTGACTGAACTTGTTTCAGTCACAGAATGACCTCAGCTGGTAGATGACAGTAAAATCAGGAGCAGCTTAGTAAGCTAAGCTATTACAAAGACTCAACACGTATTAACCTCTTTTATCCTCAAAAATTAAATCCAGTGTAGTTAATGATGCAGTGGTGCCGCTATCAAATTCTACATTTTATTATTATTTATACTCCTGAGGAGCGAATTTTACATCCAACTAGGATGAGTCTGGTTTAAAAAACAACCCTCGGTCGTTTGGCATCGAACAGCCTGCCCCCTTAACAGGGTGTTGCCTGGAATCACATTATCTGTGATCTGCTCACTGATGTGGTAGTAATGCGATATGGATTTTTTCTTCAGTCCTGATTATCTTCACCGTGCACAATAGCCACCCTCACATTCTAGCAATCCTGAAGAGGAAGTGCTTCAAAACTTTTCAGACTTCTTGTTAGTAATTATAGCCTGTATCTCTCTCATCTAAGGAATTTGATTAATGGATGTGTGAATGAATTAATGGAGATATTTACAGGACTACAACCAGATGAGCCCAGTATTATGGACAGTGGAGGATGGTTGTTTACAATGCAGGCGATTTCTGGTAGGCTTCATAGTTTCGAACTAGTGCTTTACATATGTCATGAGCAAACGTGGGCAATTGGGTAAAATGACAAATTTTGAGAGAGTTTACACCAGGGGTCCCCAAAGTCAGTCCTTGAGGGCCGACTTTTCAGAATGTCAATGTTCTTCTTAGGCCTCTAATGAGCCATCATTTGATCTGGGTGCGTTAAACCAGGGAGAAAACAAGGACTGACTTTGGGGACCCCTGATTTACACCTAGAGGAAGCAATCATCTCTCAGTAGATGAGAGCCTGGACCCTCTGGACGAAGCAAAGCGAAGAACCAGGCTGACCTTTCCCAGGCTCAGACCGGGCTGAAGCTAGCCAAAACCTCAGTGGCAAAATTCCAGGAAACATTCCATAGGAATTAACAAGGATTTGTGGGAATTGATGGGACTAAAGTTTGATTTTAAAATATTAAAGGTTGAATGGGATTTTCTCCTTTTTTTAAAATTTTTATTCAACTTTGACCAAAACAACTAAATTTCTTGCAGGTGCAGCTCGGTTCTTCAAGCCACTGTGGTAATTGACTACCACTGTGACACATGTAACACTTGGAGATGATCACAGAAAAAAAGTGCAGTTGCTTCATGTATCTGTGTCATACCTAAGTCATTTTCTTACAGTACCCAAAAAGGAATCATCTTTGTTTTATATAAAGGCATAAAGCAGTGGTCACACTGAATGAATAAAGTTTACAACCAAAGACATTTCCTTTTAAATGAAAGATTTTTGTCTGCGAGGGTGAAAAGAGCACTATGGCACTTTCTTCAGTTTTAATTGTGTTTAGAGGACAGCAGATCATTTGAGGCATAATCTGGCTGTCAACACTGTGAAGTTTTCTGTTTAGGTAACAAAATGCTCTGTTAATTGTTTACTATCTCACTCTGTATTGCTCAAGCTGCCTTCATAGGTAAACATCTTTAAACTGCTAAACTGAGATAAAAATATGCAGATCCTTGGCTTTGTGCTGGTTTTTAGTTTTCAGAGAACTATGCCAGGATACTGCGGATATTTAGAAATTTATGATGAACAGTGGGAGGAGGCAATACGCCCATGGCACTAGAGCCGAGTCAAAACTCCCACAGTGACGGTATCGGCTTTCCATATGCACATTATGATCGAGTTAAAAAGAAGCAGTGGAATAGTTTCCTTAAAAGTTCATAAGAGTAACTTTTTTTCTTTTTGCATAAACTGAAAGAAACTTTTTTTTTCTGTATGCTCGTGTTCTGCTTTTTTTTTACTGAAGTGTGGGTTTTTTCTGCATTAGTGTGAAGTTCAGAAAGTGCAATTTTGGATTTCTGAACATAATGTAATATTATAACAATATAGCACGACACTGCTCAGAGCACAAGGGATAGAATTAGACTGAATAGATCTGCCCTTATGGATTGGGCATATTGCCACCAGTATCCCATCTAAAAATGTTTTCTGATATCGGGACCAATACAGATATTAATATTGAATCAGTGCATCTCTAGTTCATAGTTCAGGCTGTGGTCAAAGTAAAAATCTCATAAGTCCACGCCTAACGGTGTGTTACAGTGTGTGTGTGTGTGTGTGTGTGTGTGTGTGTGTGTGTGTGTGTGTGTGTGTGTGTGTGTGTGTGTGTGTGTGTGTGTGTGTGTGTGTGTGTGTGCCTGCCCTTCGATTTGGCCGCTTCATGTCTCAGGATCGACCCATGATTACATTAGACAGTCAAATGCTTGATCAAACCCTTTTGATCAAGCATTTGATCAAAAGTGATCAAATGGTTGATCACTTTTGCAAGATCAAGCATTTTGTGTGATCTTGCAAAAGTGACACACATTGAACGTAATTGACATTAATTTGAATTTTTCCTGCCTTTCAGAGTCGGAAACACGCCAACAAAGTGCGGCTCTATTACATGCTACATCCTGTGGATGGAGGCTGCCCGGCCAAGAAGCTCAGAACAGACAACGTGAGACTTTATTGTTAAATCTCTTCTTTCTTCTTCAGCTGTGTTTCCCCGATAGCTTCTGTAATCACCTGCAACATGGAGTCAGGGCTGTGGGAAGCATTCATTGTGATCGGTAATTATCCACCTCGTGTGTCAGAGCAGCAGACAGATAAACAACAACAGTTTCTACCCCAGTGAGCAGCGGGTGGCAGAAGACGCCAACCTTTCATTTAAACCCGACACGTTGTTTGGGAATCAGCCTGCAAACCGTCCGCCTCACATGAGGCGACCGGCAAGCACAAAAGTTCTGCTGGTGAACGAGTTTGTCCCAGAGTCACTGTGATAAGGTTCCACGTTGACGGCACTGTCTGGGTTTCTCTCCAAGTGTCGGAGTGAAGATGATGCTCAGGGGAAGAGACGGAGGTTTGTGCTGCAGTGATCGGGACGCTGCCAGCTATCAGTGGAGAAATCAGAGTTTGCGATCCAGATAAGGATCCATCAAGGGACACTAATGCTCTCTCCTGACTCTCCTGCTGCCTGAGCTCATCATCAGGTTCTGCTGTTGTTTCTGTTCACCTCTCCATTCCCATTTCATCCCTTCGCTTCGCTCCGCTCTGCTCCGCCTGTCTGTCTTTCTTCGTTCTAATTTCCTCTCCTGCTCTCTGTTCCCTCTGTCACACGCCTACGATCACATCTTTTCTCCCACCTTCATCCTTCCATCTCTGGGTAGTTTTCCTTCATCACTTTTATTTTCTTTTTGCAACCCTAGTTTTAATCAATTAATGATCCCGGTCATAAGTCTTTATCTCACATTTTGTCATCTATTTTCCTCTCCTGTTTTCTCTGAATGTTATTTCTTTTGTTAGCCGTTTTTACTTCCTATTCTTTCCTTTTTAGGTTTCATTTTTAGGTCAATTACGTTTGTTTGTCCAATTCTTTTTCATCTGCTCTGTTTCTCTCTTATCTTGTTTCTTTTTATACTGTGAGTTATGCTGTGTCCTTTCTTCTTCAGCTTCATGTATTTTTCTTTTTCATTTTTTTTCAATTACTTTTATCATCTTGTTGAGTTTCCAGTAAATCTTTATTCTTTTTTTATTTTGCTAATACCGTTGGCTTTTTTCCCACTCTCTTTTCACTTCTTTTATTTTCCATCTCTCCCTTTTATGCCGATGTTTATATTTTTGTTATTTCAACTCTATCCCTTTCTCATATGGACAGATTGCTATTCTCTTCATATTTAATGATTAGCTCCAGGTTGAAAGCTGGCTGATGTGATGAAGAGAACGGTAGATGTTTTATGTGAGGAAGGGCAGCAAGGTTTAACTTGTTTTATTGTAGTGTGGATCAATAATCTGGCCGATTACTGATTACCGATTTTTAAGAAGTCTGCCAATCCCAATTTTGGTAAATACAGATTTTTTTTTCTGAAACATTGCTATTGTTGACTGCATGACCTTTGACCCAACAGTCAAACCTCTCTCACAGGAGACCAAACAGTAGTTGATTTTTACACCTTTTTTGATCAGTTGATCTCATCAGTTGATGAGATCAATTGATGAGATCAATTGATGAGATCTGCCTCACATGGAAGTATTGGCCAATCATTGATCTCCGAAAATCAAGGAGATTTGGGTCAATTTACTCGTTGGCTGTAATGCAGAAAGATATTCTGTAAGGATCTTGATGGAGCAGAAAGTGGTGATGAGAGCAGATCTGAATGGACATGTTGATGAAGGAAACAGCTCCTTATGTGTGTTTGTGTGTTTGTGTGTTCGTGCGTGCGCGCGTGTGTGTGTGTGTGTGTGGTTGTCTGTCCTGTCTGTCTCTGTATTGCCCTGCAACAGCCTGGCGACCTGTCCAGGGTGAACCCCATCTCACCCAAAATGTTTTGCAGTAGCTAGGCACCAGCACCTCCTGACCCCTCTAGGGACAAGGTGTACAGAAAATGGATGGATGGATGGATGGATGGATGGATGGATGGATGGATGGATGGATGGATGGATGGATGGATGGATGGATGGATGGATGGATGGATGGATGGATGGATGGATGGATGGATGGATGGATGGATGGATGGATGGATGGATGGATTGGATGGATGGATGGATGGATGGATGGATGGATGGATGGATGGATGGATGGATGGATGGATGGATGGATGGATGGATGGATGGATGGATGGATGGATGGATGGATGGATGGATGGATGGATGGATGGATGGATGGATGGATGGATGGATGGATGGATGGATGGATGGATGGATGGATGGATGGATGGATGGATGGATGGATGGATGGATGGATGGATGGATGGATGGATGGATGGATGGATGGATGGATGGATGGATGGATGGATGGATGGATGGATGGATGGATGGATGGATGGATGGATGGATGGATGGATGGATGGATGGATGGATGGATGGATGGATGGATGGATGGATGGATGGATGGATGGATGGATGGATGGATGGATGGATGGATGGATGATGGATGGATGGATGGATGGATGGATGGATGGATGGATGGATGGATGGATGGATGGATGGATGGATGATGGATGGATGGATGGATGGATGGATGGATGATGGATGGATGGATGGATGGATGGATGGATGGATGGATGGATGGATGGATGGATGGATGGATGGATGGATGGATGGATGGATGGATGGATGGATGGATGGATGGATGGATGGATGGATGGATGGATGGATGGATGGATGGATGGATGGATGGATGGATGGATGGATGGATCTTATGAAATGTGCATTATGTAAAATGGACCATTTCATAAGGTTTGATAGAAATTCCATAATTATATAAACATTTTGTGCATTTTTGTTTATAAAAAATCAAACAGTTATTACTAAAAGGCTTTCTGCTTGTGTCAAAATTATGTGACACACAAACCCACTTCATAATGTATTAACATACATTATGTTGTCAATATATAATGTAAAGACCAAAGTCCACATTTATAACTGCAGTTTAACAATCACACTATCAATGGCTTGTTTCATTAAACTGTGTGCAATGGAGAAATTAGTGAAAAATATTTAAACCTTTAGATTGAGCCTTATAAACTAAACTTATAACAGCTTTGGGTTCACTGTGTTATAAGCTGGACTGTTTATGTTTTCCAGAGCTGCAGTGAACGATATGCTGTGGAAGGACTTAGTGTAAATGCTCTTGACAAATAAATTAAAGTGCAATGGAAAACTCAGCTAATAGGATTTAGTCACTGACATTCAAGTGTGTCTTTTTGTACCTGAGGATGTATTTTATTGCAGAGGTTAGACTACAAAAGCACAATTGATCCGTTGCACTTTACATGCCTGCGGATAGGTGATTGGCCCAGACTGAAGCCACAAAGGCAGCGCTGACAATTTAATCCATAAAGACAGTACTCAGGCACCAAGTACAAGAACATGAGAGATGAAGAAATACAAAGTTAAGATGGACCTTTTCCAGAATGGATGGATGGATGATCTGAGTAGTTTTTTTGTTAAACTCTTTTTACAGCCAGGTCATTGATGTACGACAAACGCCACTATTTTGCGTCTTGTTACGCAAATGTGGGCAGGAACACCGGGGGTCGACTGTGGAGGAGCACTAGGGGGCAACTGAGAGTCACAGGGAGGCAACGAGGAAACACTAAACCCACTGACTGGAGGAGCACCTGGGGCGGAAAGCTCAGGAGCACTGGCGGGAGCGCCAGCAGGAGCCGCTGCCGCAGCAAGGAACGGTTAGGCTGAAGCAGGCTCAGGAGCGGTGGCAGGCTTGGGACTAGGAGCTGGTTCCGCTGCGGCAGGCCAGGCCACCTATCTCACAGCCTGTCAGCCAGGTGCCAGGATGGCCACCTGGAACCCCATGGCCAGTAGTACGGAGGCTGCGGAAGCAGCGGCTGGAGCAGCAGCTGGAGCAGCGGCTGGAGCAGCGGCTGGAGCAGCGGCTGGAGCAGCGGCTGGAGCAGCGGCTGGAGCAGCGGCTGGAGCAGCGGCTGGAGCAGAGGCTGGAGCAGCGGCTGGAGCAGAGGCTGGAGCAGCGGCTGGAGCAGAGGCTGGAGCAGCGGCTGGAGCAGCGGCTGGAGCAGCGGCTGGAGCAGCGGCTGGAGCAGAGGCTGGAGCAGAGGCTGCGGAAGCAGTGGCTCCAGCGACGCAGGGGCTGGTGGAGCGGAAATCCGGCTTGAGAGGCAGAGGGCCGCCTTTCAGCACGGCAATAGTGGTCAGGTGTTGCCACTCTGCCTCCTATTGCAACTCCGCCAGCCCCAGATGTCGCGGGATCCACTTGTCCAGCATTATGACCTTGCGTGCGGCTATGCCCAAGCATTGACGAGCTGAATATAGTCTAGCCACAACTGCCACCAGTGTCCCGCAACACCTCTGCATCCATGATGTTACTAGCGTGCCTCACCGTACTTGTTGGTTGGGCCCTTCTGTCTTATGGTGGTGTGGTGGTGGTGGTGAGGTAGATGCTGGAGTCCCAGGTAAAGATGAATAATCATCTATTTAATGGTCCAAAAATCCAAAAACACAGGCAACCCTGCTGAGCGGACACCAGAGCTCAATGCAGGTAGCAACTGGTCAGACGAAGGACCAGACAACAAACTGGGAACACATTCAACAAGGACCCGACGAGGAACAAAGGACACAGAGGATTAAATACACTGAGGATAATCAGGGAAACAAGACACACCTGGGAGTAATCAGACAGGACAACAGGGAGACTCAGAAGACACAGAAACTCAAAATAAATACACAGAAAACCACAGAACATGACAATATATGTTTTTTCCCAATTTGTTTACATGTTTACATTTTGTTTTTCTAAATCTCCCTCTAATTAATAAATCTGGTTGTATAAAAATTTGACAAAGGATGAACAAGAGCACTAATGTCCTGGCTTTTTAATATTATCTAAAATATATTAAACAACAACAGAAGTTCTTTTCCTATCATGCCTATCACTCAACCCACTTGTGGCCCCACCCAGTTGACTTCCTGTCTTGTCCTTGCTCT